GCAGAAAATACGCTTTTGAAATGGCTATTAAATGCTGAGCAAATGTCCTGCCCATGACAGTAATATTTATTGTCAAGAGAGAAATTTTGAGGATAAGTGGATGTCCCTCTTTTTGACTTAACATATTTCCAAAAGAACTTTGGCGACGTTTTCAATTTTTTTTCAGTATTATACGTGAAGTATTCAAAACATTTATTTTGTATACGATGTTGTCTATCTCTAAGCAGTTTAAACTCTTCATAATCACGAGGATTCTTCCATTTTTTCCATTTTTTATGGGCTTTTGATTTCTCCCGCAAAATTTTTATCAATGCAGGGCTGTACCAACATGGATAACAATTATTACAAGAAGACACAAGGGGAACAAATAGATCAAAGCATTCATTTAGTTTTTTATAAAAAATTTCTACAGCATGATCTACTGACGCGGTATTCATAAGTAACTCACTCCAATCAACTTTATTCAAAAAATCATTGATGATTGTATAATTACATTTACGGAAATTATACTTCGGTTGAGATTTCTCTTTTAAAGGTTTAATGGAGAGATCAGGGACTTCAACCATGAATGGAGGATGAAAATCATCCAATCTGGAAAGAGGATCCGACTTATTTATTTCTAAGTGTAAATTTGAAAAACACAAGTCAAGGACATTATTACAACGATTTTGAATAAAATTAAATTGATTCAAACCTAAAAAACTAAGATCCTCGGCCAAGGTATTAGCAGCTACCTGAACCCCATATTTGCCAATCGGTATTAATGACCAACCATCAGCATTCCATGTTAAACTAGGCAAATTAAAATCACCAATAATCATAAAGAAGTCCGAATGTGACGTTTGATAAAAACGCTCAAAACTGATTCTAAATTCATTAATATACTCAGCTAATTTACCTTCATCTGGTGGTATATAAACTAGTATAATATTTAAGTTGTATTGTGAGCTGAGAGATCGGGCTGGTAAGCTGACACATATAGATTCAATATAATTACAACTCCAATCTACACGCTTAGTCGCACCTAGTTCACGACGGGTACAAATCATTACACCTCCACCTGAACTCTTATTCGTAGCCACCAAGTCCCTGTCACAACGGAATATATCAAACCTCCCATCACATAATTCGTTATCAAATATATCATCTTGCAACCAAGTTTCAGTGAGGAGTATAACATTATAATTACATGATAGTATATTATTATATAAGTCAAGGCATTTTGTACGGAGACCACGTACGTTCTGATAAAATATATTTAATTTCCTATCTATAGACATCATTAAGGAGTGAATATGAATCTATAAAGTTTTTTTAATAACTTCCCGTACAACCAGCACGGTGCAAACAGTAAATAAAGATAGTGAGCAGTTAAAGTAAACCCAAGAGTACGTTTTTGTATACAGCATAAATAAGTAACAGCCTCACAACAATTACAGTAGTGTATTACCTTAGAGACGGCCAAATCGTGGATACGGATGGATATGGTGGATACGGTGGACACATATGGCGGCAGTGACGATATGATTCCTACGATGCGGTAAATTATAATAGTTAAAAGAGTTTTACAAAATATGTTTTGTATACACCTAAATATAGGTAGCAATACACACAATAACGTTATGAGGCATGTTTTATATAAACGTTTTAAGGACTTTATATAAATAAATGAAAAAAATACTTTATACAATAGTACGTATAAATAAACATATAATCTTATTGTTATACATACATACATATTGATATTATTGATAACAACTAAATAATAATGCTTACCTAGATAAATATAGCCTAACTTTGTGCACAACACAGTATGTTTAAATATAATATATAAGTACTGGTAGATGCAAATTACGATTAGATTAAAACGTACAAATAGTCAAACAATTTTTAAAAATATCCGAGCTGTCCTTAATACGTAAAGAGTGAGTGGTATCGTTTTTCCTGACGAATATTTTACCATCACGAACCCATAAATATTGGTATAGGGCAGACTTCATTTTTAATTTAGTATTTTTAAGAAGTAGTTTGTTAGACGGTGTTAAGTGTTCATTTACATATATTTTGGACCCCTCGTCAGGAAAGCCGATGTCACAAAGTCTAAGTCCTTTTTTTAGCACGCACCGCAGCAAGGATTGAATCGCGTAGCAAACGGGAACTCAGCTTCACTACGATTGCTTTGGGACGACCGGGAACCACCTTAAACGGACGAATCCTCGATATGTGAATTACGTCATTTGCTGATACTTCGATTCCCAGGAAATTAGTTAAGTTACTAAAATGCAATAACAAATCCTCTCGTGTTTTTTCAGGGATTCCAGTAATCTCTAGGTTGTTAAGTCTAGCTTGTTGTTCAACTTCGTCCATTTTGATCTCAAGGGATCGAACTTGTGTGGACAGTTCTGTAGATTGAGAAGTGACACTCTCACATGCTTGCAATCGACTCTCAAATAAATCCAGCCTTTGTATGGACGTGCTAAGAGATATTTCCATTTCGGATAAACGTGAGTTGGTTTCAGAGAGTGATTTATTAATTTTAGAGTTATCCTCAGTAAGTTTTTGTAAGGTTAAATTTATTTCACACAAGTTCGAAGTAACGTGTGATAGTCGTTCGGTAATTGCAGAGTTGACGGCGGTTGTAATACAGTTAGTAATGCTGTCATTCAAAAGTTTCATTTGCTGTTCCATCCTTTGCTCAAAAATTGCAAACATTCCATGATGTTCGCATTCCATTTGTTTCCTTTTACGCGAGTTAACGTAAGATTCCATATCTACCGACATATTAGATAAATCGGGGTTCGAGGAGACTTTGATCGGAGATGCGGGTTGCGAGTTGTTCATTGTTTACGACGACACAACAAGTTACACGATGAGTAGGACCGGGACGAAAAATAGCAGTCAGACTCTTCACGCGGGGGTGAGGCGCTCCTCAGTTATGACCACGAGCAGTGGAGCGAGAACGAAATCGAAACAGTAGCAAAAAAATTTAAATTGCACTGCACTTTACGCACACAGTATTAGCGGTAATCGTTATTGCAACTAGGGTGATTATAACATGCACATTATAGACTAATTATCGCAGAAAGTTGTACACAACTGTTCACAAAGGCAGTCACGGTAGTAATGAAGGAGAACTCCTCAGACTTGCCCTGAGGATCAACACCACCTGCGCTCTCCCCCCAGAGCCATACGCTAAACTGCTCGCCGGATAGGAGAGCAGAATAGTTGTTAATCTAGTCCTATTTATAATATCAAAAAGTAAGGAGTAGACCAAGTCCCGCCCTATAGTCACCCTAGTCTAAGTTAATTATTAAGTTTAGTAGCAGGCGGGACCCAATCGGAAAATTATAAACCGAAAGAAAATTGATGGGTTCAGCTTGAAACTCGCTTGAAAATTCTCAACCTTGTTTCGATATTTTTAGTGTATTATTTTTAATTTTTTTCGCGGTCGGGTTCTTTATTTTTTTAAATTCTTTATGTTATTTACTTACTCTGTTCTTACTTACACATTTTATTTATCACTTTAATTTTAAAACTTTAAACACTGAACACTGCGAATTCTCAATATCAAAATTTTGATGAAATGCATGCCCTTAACTGAACTAATTAAAAGTTGTTATGAAATAAATTTGTTTATAATAATTTATTTAATTTTTTGTGAATAAATTACACTTTATTAAAAAATCATAAATTTTAAACCATTGATTAATTACTTTTAAAACACATTTGTTTCTTCGATTCTTTTATATACCTATTTTGTTTATATCTACAATAAATAACACTTGGTAAAAAATAAAAGGGTTTTTCTGCTTTGGACTGCGGTCTAGCCATCGCGGTCAACCCCCTAGCAGTCTCATGACACCGCGGCCATATTTCATCAAATCCCTAGCGGTCTAACGAGGTTGCGCCCACCCACAGCACCTTAACCCATAAAACTTGTATGTAGAGACTTTTTTCTATAAAAAAGTTTGGCATTATATAATCAATGTGAAATACTCTTTTTATCCTATGAATATTTATATATAATCTACGTTTATTTCGTACGCCATTTTCGCCTGAATTTTATTGTGTTTATTTTTGGATTTTTCTAGTGTTTTGTTAGTGTTTTAGTATAGTGTTTTATTATAAAATTGTAATGAAAGTTTTTGTTAGAATATAGTTTATCTTTTTACGTAATATATATTGAAATAATTGTGATTTTTGCGCTGCCATCATATGCTTGGTGTTTTTTTTTTGTTATAAAAGTACAATAAAATCTTTTTGTAATGAAGTAAAACCTGTCTTTTGTTTAGGTCACAGGATAGAGAATTTTGTATAAGTTTTATAATGCTAAACTTCTTTATAAAAAAGAAGTCTCTAAATATAACTTTTAATGGTTTTAAGTGCTGTGGGTGGGTGCGGTCGCATGCGACCGATCGGGAATTTCCGGGCGCATGCGACTGTATGGAATTTTTATGGCGCTTGAGGGGCTTATATTGAACTAAGAAGAAGTATGATGCTTACACTAACTACGCTGATCACACTGCTGGTCCCCTGGGACCCATATTCGTCAAGTTCCATCATTCTCAAAGTTCCTGTATCAGATAGCAGCCTGAGAAGATATAGAAAAAGGGAGTTGACTGCTACAAAGTTACATAAATGGTCGAAGAACAAGAAAGGACGACGGGTGGGGTGATAATTCGTTTCTTGATTCTTATTTAACTATTTAAACAGTTTGTAGCATCGTTAACAAAGGAGCTCTGTTTATAAGCGATTTTAATCAGATTTAAATTTACTTATTTTTAATAAACCTAACTCAAAAAATCGACATCCGAAGAATAAGAAAGGCTCTCGAGCTTCCTACATTTAGGTTTAAAGGTACTTATCATCTTACATTATTGTTTAGGGCAGCTCCCACTAGACAAAGTCATGACCTGGTAAAATATGCAAGAAGTCGATGAATGCAAGTTGTGTTTCGCAAAGGAATTGTGATGGGATGTTATAATGATAACAAATATAATTTAATATGATACATGGCTATAAATCCATTCTATATACCAGCTAATTGGTAAAGCAATACCAGCAACATTCGTTGATTTTTTTGCTACGTGATCTAAGCAATCAGCTGTTTTTTCTCCTAAAGTCAAGATTCCTGCTATACCCGATGTATGAATTAGAGGACCACCAGAATCTCCTCCGCAAGCTGTAACTCGATGGCCACATCTTCTTGCTAAGCAATAAGAATTGGTAAAGTAGTGCTCTGGGCATTTATAAATTAAAACTTTTAAAACTTGTAGTGGTTTCCTCAGTACGAGGGTGTCGTTTGTTTCGATTTTTACCCCTGGCAGATTAAGAGTTGTCACACCAAAACCAGCTATGTCGGCTTCATGACCAAGTATTGATAAATAATCCACAGCGCTAATTTTCATATAATTTGCAATACGCATGGGTGTTACTTGCATAAGACCTATGTCGTTCTCATTGTTTCTGTATAAAGGATGTTTAATAGTGTGCAAAACATCGCTAAAAAAATGATTTGTCCGTTGTGGGTCGAATCCTTTTCCGTATCTTATGACAAATTTCACTTTAAAACTTTGGAGCCAAGAAACCAAGCAATGTGCCGCAGTTAGTACCCATGTTGACGAAAGAGCAGATCCTGTGCAGAGATGATAATTTTCGGCGACAGTAGTGTTATTTGTAGAAATAGTCCAGAATTTTAATTCTATACGGACAACATACGGATACTCATCTGGATTAGCGTCATTTCCACCAAGGATTCTTAAGGGTTCCTTTAAAATATTCGAACATTCAGTTATTGAGAATATTGTAGAAAATTGCAACATGATAAGTTTTACGAATGTAACTCTAAAGTACATAGCTGTAAAATGTTATAAAAAACAAGTATTATATTGTTTTATAGCAAATAATATTTTACTATAGTGTTCATTTAGATTTGAATATCGATTTAAATCATAAAAATAAATCAGAAATATGTTGCCAATTTTTCTGAATATACCTGTGGCATTTGGCAATACTTGGTGGTTCATGCTGCTGCTTTAAGTCAAGAGAGGCGGATGTCCACTAAACACCTGTATGTTATTTGTGGGGTGTTGGGTATTGAAAACCTCAAACATGGGCTACCCCAAAAATTTGGCCTTAGGTCCAACCTTGTGGATATTTCTATTGGATGGCGAAAGTGTCTACTTATTTACTTCTTTCTGGAACATCCAGCACCCTGTTCTCCGCATATTACATAGGAACGTTCCTCTTGACATATATACGCAGCAACATACTTCTATGATCTTAATAAATGAATGATACAGTTTGGGCAGCACGGCAGCATTTTTGTTATGGCTGTAATTTTGCCGACTTGGCTCTGATTGGTGCATTCTGGCACAAAAAATAAAGCACGTAGTAATTTGACAAAGTGGGAGGTGAGCAAGTGCAAACGAGAAATTCGGAATGAAATTGTAGCTCAGTTGACCGGTTTGTTGAATAAATAAGAAATGAGATGGAATATGGATTGGCAGAGAGCTGTTTGCGTTATTCCAGTAGCAATACAACTAACATTGCATTGTTTTGCGTCTGAATTTTTAGGTCTTATAGATTTTTACGGAGCTTGGAAGCTTTTGGAAAAGATTACGTAAGATGAAGGGTTGTGATTCAAATAAGTTTGACTGTGGTGAGGCTCGGTAGAACTAGGAGGTAGGAATTTCTTGCGGCTGCTAGGGTTTTGACATTATTTGCGAAGAAGAAACTAAGATATTCTTAACAAAAACGCAAACATATACACATCACAATATCTTAATATAATAATGTGGCGACTCATGGACTAGTTTCTAAACAGTTCGCACTTTTAAAATAAAACTAAAAGAATACGAATACGATACCCACCTTTAAACTCATAAGTGGGAACACTTATTGTGACGGACGAGAAACTACGGAACCCTACACTGAGCGTGGCCCGACACGCTCTTGGCCGGTTTTTCATATAAAGTACACTGTGTCTTTATATTATAAAACTAACGAATACTTGCTTAATTGTACATTTATTTATTTTGCTTTTGGAACTTGTCGAGTAATTTATTTGTGCCTTGCACATGCCTTTTGTTGCGCTTTTTGTTATGTTGGCTTTTTGTTGTGCATTTTCCTAAATGCCAACAGCTTTATTTTTATTTTTAAATTGTTATAAGTGTGTTTTTTATTTATATATAAGTAAAGTATGTAATTTCATTATTGTTGGAACCTGTGATAAGTGTAATAAATTAAGTTTATTCTATTCCACCTATGTCTCTGGCGTTTACTGAAAATCAGTAGTTGTAGTTACCACTATACGGTTTCTATAACATTTCTGCTGAGTAGACGCCTTTTTAGTTCATTCCTCTAAATAATTATGTTATGTACATTTGTGTGTATGTTTGGATCGAAATAAGTTATATTATTATTATATGGGGGGTATCAATATAGTTTTCTCATCCGGTTGGATTCTATAAATATAAAATTATAAATGGAAATGAAAAGATAAATATGCATAAATATCAATAATATTAAATAAATATAAAAATACATAAATACATAAAAGCCCAACCAGATGGAGGCCCTCGGCAGGGGAGACCAAACGTCCGAGGGTTAGGGGGAAAAGGAAAGAAACCGGCGGACGATGCGGGTGGTATCGAGGAGCACCGCCTTTTGCATTTGAGCCTGGAGCGGTCAGCCACGTAGTCCCAGCCACCTCAGATGACCCGAGAGGCTGACTGGGATTAGCCCGTTTGCAGAGACGACTACAGGAATAATTTCGGTCGGCAGACCACCCCACATGTCGGTCACCTCGTGAGTCAGGTCCAGATATTTTGTTCGTTTATCTGTTTCGGCTTTCACGAGGCTCTCTTCGTACGGAATGGTAATGTCGACCAAAAATATCCTTGACTGTGCCCGATCCATCAGCACAATATCAGACTTATTCGTAAAAATTTATTATTATTATTATAGAATTAATAAGCCTACGCGGCAAACTATCTGCTTAGATTATTTTATGATCAAAACAAATGGGTAGGTCGAAACTATTGTTTTCAATGAGTTTACCGATCACTAGCCCATACTATATTTCGTTAACAGTAGTACAAATGAAAAACATCAGATTCGAGAGAAAGTTGACATAAATCTAGAAAGAGGAGCGTAACAGCTCCGAACAGTCATGTTAAGGTTTGCCCAAAACCAAAGCTATGCCAATATTGACTTATCTCAGAGTTGAATATTAGCGTATTCGGGAAAAGGAGTACAACTTGTAGAGAGTTAAAAAAGTACACATGGGAATCAGCCTTGAGTTGGTAACTTGTGCAACTCTACCATTTGGCCATTCACCGCTCAGGTCTGGCTAAGTAAGAAGTAAAAGTCAAAAAATGTAGGTTCAACCAGAATATAACTTCAATAATATTACAAAACAGCTGAACCTGTGAACGTCATTCTGCTCTAATCGGAAAAATCTTTTAACATTACATTTACTAATAATCTCGACAACAGCGCCACCTATTTAATCCATATTTAGATACTTTCTTCTTTTATGATACCAAACCAATATATATTTACAATCTGAAATGAGTTGCAGCACTAAAGGCTGCTGGACACGGGTAGAGTAAACGGTAGAATAGAGCGGTAGAGTTCTAACTATCCTACTTACTATACTTACGTAGACACTGCTGGTAGAGTAGAGTACTGAAATTTGGTAGAGTAGAGTAGGCTAGCACCGTGGGTGAGTTACTTTACCACTTTCCTTCCCCCACCCCGGCGTCCACTCTACTCTACCGAGTACTCGACCCATGTAAACGGTTAGTAGAGTAACTAGTTTAGACTTGTTTACAAAAGGCACATGGCATTGTTTACTAAAGTTGTACGCAGTTGTTTTAGTAGTAGTGATTTATGAAAAAAATATCATGAAGTGGGCTGAATCAGAAACTTTAAAACTAGTGGAGCTTTACAGGGAGTTTCCGTGTATCTGGGATATAAGCCACCGTGATTATAAAGATAAGAACAAAAGGAATGCGGCGTATGAATATATTATTCGTGCAATGAGCAAGGAAAACTTTGGAGTTTCTGAATTAAAACAAAAAATCAAAAACCTCCGATGTACTTATAACCAAGAACGAATGAAAAAAAAAATCTCAAAAGTCTGCCAGTGGAAGTAACGAAGGTTACGTGCCTTCTTTAAAATGGTACTATGTAATGGATACATTATTAAAATCTATTACACGAAGCACCGAGACTCAGGATAACTTTGAAGGAACAATACAATCTGAGGTACGTACCTAGTGTTTATTAAAACAATATTTTATTACATTATTTAGGATATATGACAATATTGCCAGGGTACAGCTCCATCGTTGTTGAAATAGTCCTTCATTCGGTCACGTATTCTCTTAGCGAAATCGGTGCTTTGAATACTCCCAAATCTCTCAAGATTACTCAATTCTTCAATCTCGATTCTCCAACTACCGGGTATAATTTCTCCAATATGTATATTTTCTTGATCGACCGCACTTGCTAGCAAATAAGAAGGCGATGATCCACGTAGCCAGTTGTGAATAGAACAGGCTGCAAACACAAGTTTGCGAACTGTGGTAGGCTTCAAATCTATTTTTCCATCAAATATCCGAAACCTGCTCATCAAAATACCGAATGCATTCTCCACAATTCTTCTTGCTCGGCTCAGACTATCCTCTCAACTGTGAGAAACTCAAAATGAAATATGTCATGTCTGTGTGGCTGAAATCAGCCACATCACAGACTTGAGTTATTTTTGGCTTTAGTTTTATAAAAATTGTAATATCTCCACTTCTTTTTTAAATTAAGGTTTTATTTTCTTTATCCATTACTCAGAAGTAGTTTCTGTTCCTATTTCTTTAAATCATATCAACTGCAATATTATAATAAATTTGTTATACTACATCTAAGTTAGGGCACTTATATTCATATTTATTTCTATGTTAAAAATAAAATATAAAGAAATGTTTCATAATAATAATCATTTAATTACATCAACAGTACATATTTTAACAGATTTATTACAAAAAAAGCAATCCACTTCATACAATTTTTTTCAGCAAAACAATGTTTAAAACTTTCATTCTAAACCAACTACTTTGAGACTATACAAAAGTGACCTCCATATTTTAACGTATATTTATGTAAATAAGCGCTTTGAGTATTGAAGCTTGATGTTTACTGTAACTTGAGCTTATCAGGTAAGCAAAATCACAAGTGGTCCATGGGTATGCTCAATGGAACTAGAATAAGAGTTACACAAAAAAGGGTCCTTTTTTTACTTACAAAATTAGTGGTTACAAGAAATTAATTTTTAAATGATTAAGTTGTTTGTTTGACCAAACTGTTATATTTTCCAAGATATACATTCAACTAGCTTTAATTTAAATTAAAAACCTTGCATGGTTTCTAAGAACTTTCATAAAATCAATGCTAACTTATACAATACAAAATTAGTACAAAAACATCCAAAATGTGTCTAGATTAATATGGATGAGACTAAGATTGATTTGTTTTAAAATATTTTTTTTTAGTTTCTACTTTGTATTTATAATGAAACAATAAACAGAGTAAAAGTAAACATAATTAAATTATTCCCGTTGTTCTACTACTCTTACGGCCGAGTAGCGTAGCAGTTGGTGGTCCTGCCTCATACACCAGATGTCCCAGGTATATCCATTTGTGCCCTGAATATCCATTTGCGTGATGAACGTAGATATTTATACTCTGGTCATGGTTATAATATAATATAATTCATAGTTTTGTTTAATTAAATATTTAAACTTATAAATACAGAGACCTTGTATATTTTCTGGGACTTTGTTGTAATAGCGTATAC